GAACAACCATAATGTTTTGTTCAGAGTTACGAACATTTCAGAGTTATGAACAACCTCCATTCCTGAGGTATTCATAACTCTGAGGTTTTACTGTAATCTCTGGGAATGGTTTTATAATGCTTCCTACATTATAGTAGCTCCATCTAGGCTGTATTTCCCTAGTTTGTTTATGAGAGGGTCATGCAAAACAGTATCAAAAGCCTGACTAAAGTCAAGATATACCACATCTATCATTTCCCCCCATCCACAAAGCTTGTTATCATGTATGGCAATACTGTGCTCCATTTGGAGACTCCTGATATACATAGGTGAAATTGACATGTTCATGTAATTCTAAGTATTTGTCATTTTTGTATATTTTACAGTAGTGCACAGAGTATCTTTTGATTTCTTAATTTTTAATTTTGTTTTGTGAGCAGTTGAGGAATACTGCCTGGGGTTTTCAGAGGAACCTAAGGAGTGATCTACACACTAACCTGCACTGCCCACGCACAGATTTGAACCAAAATAACTAAAGTGCTTGCATCTTTTGTTGTCTTGATGCAAGTTTTTGTCTTGATCAGCCCTCAGGGAGTTAGCTACCAATTCTCTGAGTTTCAGTGGGAGTCCGGTGCCTAATACCCTTCAGCTCATTTGAAAATTCCGGTCACTGTTCTCAGTCATTCACCAGTACCAGTCCAGATGGACGAGTCGAGCTTCCTTTACCTAGCAGCTTGAAAACAGAAAATAAAATTTGGGGCTATATTTTTAAAATGAATCATTCACAATTGGAAAGGCCTGACTCTTGTGCCCACATAGCTAATGTGCATATTGGGGTATGCATACACACACAACGAGAGACAGAACTGACTGTCTGTGCATGCCGATTCCCAAGTTGCCAATTCTTAAATTACTGAAAATCTCTATCTGTTGTGAGTGAATGTTAACAGTTGTGTTACTGCTCTGTATATTGAATGGTTGAATGGAATTTGCTTTTATAATGCATTTCATTGACACAGGATCTCAAAATTCTTTACAGACACTGTACAGATGTTACAATGAACAAGTAAATTGACATTTGCCACTGCAACTCTACATCAGAGTAAGGGTGGGGCTATTAAAATTAAACCACATCTTTTTGAAGTTGCTGGTGAAAGTATGTACCTATTAACGGAAAAAATCTCTCCCTTTGAGCACCCAAGAAAGTAGTAAAACAAATATATGAAATGTACTTTACTAAAGGTGAAAACCTAAAACATTGTTAAAGATAAGTTTTGCTTCAATTTTTTTCCTCTCAAAGCATTTAGCTCGATTCTTGAGTTATTTATCCCTTTGTACTTTGTAATAGTTTGTATAGAAGATGCTGTGCAAACTTAAATTGTATTGTATTCCTGTGGTTTTGTGCTGTGAAACAATGTTAAATGCTTTATGAAGCAAAGACTAGTTATGTATTTTTTCAGTTTTCTTACATAACCTTATTGTATTTTCCATGAGACAGTAGAATCTGATTGTCACACACTCCATTCTAGTCTTTTCCTATTGGTTAGCAAAGATGTAATAGCAGGTAATTTAGTGAGGTCTCATGCCACTTCTCCAAGATTCTTTTTACAGAATATACTATAGAACACAATATAATAGATTTCATATATATATGAAGTTTTTATTAATGACATAAATGAACAAAGTTCATTTTGTGTTGTATTATCTGTTTTGTTTTTATACACACATTTGCTAATTCTCAAAATTAACTAATTAGCAATGGGGTTTTCAATTAGTGTGAATTAGCTGAGATTCTGCTGTTTCCATATTTCATTTGTTGTAACAAGTCAGTCTTCCAGGGAGTTATATGTTTTGGATCATTTCTGCTGCTCTTTTGACAGATTCATAGAGAGTATTGCATTCTTAGGACTGTTTTCATCTTGATTTTTAGATTAACTAATGTGCCCCCTACAACAACATATCTCCCCCACATGCTCATTTAGAACAGAAGACTGGGAATCAGGACTCTTGCATTCTGTTCCTGGCTCTGCTACTGATTTGGTGTGTGATCTTGGCAAAAATCGTTTGTTCTGATTTTCAAAAATGGTGAACAGCTGCAGTGCTTCCTGCTAACATTCTGTGCCTCATTTTCCTCACATGTAAAATTAGTATAGTAATGCCTATTTCACACAGGTATCTTATGTGTTAATATGTGTGAAGAACATTGGGACCCTTGGGTGGTCAAAGTACAAAGTATTATTTTTCTTAGAGGAGATAATTACTGAACCAAAAACTATGTAAACCATGATAAATCTTTACCTGTTTACCTAAAACCAGGCTCCAGCAATATCTGAAATTATTGATTCTCATAAATGGATCATTATTTCTCAAATCATTGGTATATGGTTTTATCAGATACTGATCCACTTTGAGCAGCTGTTCATAGGTATGTATGGATATAGTTGATATTAAACTTATTTTCCTTTTGTTGAGTCAATTTTTGCTGGTGAAGGGTGTCATACTGGTTACCCTAGAGCAGGGGTTCTCACAACAAATGTTTTGGTGGCCTCAGAGTGCAGCCACCAATTCTTGCTG